CCCCCCCCCCCCAGGATAGCACTCCAGGCCCGGGAACCTTAGGGTGTGGGGCTGTCCCCTTACTAATCTGTCCGTGTCCGGGTGAGGCCCGGTAAAAGCTTGCCCTGGAGGGCATGGTGCAAGGCGGTGGACTCCCTGGGTCGTTTTGTAAGGGATTTTCGTATTCCTCTGACAGTTCCTTCTCTGTTCTCTGTCCCTGGGCGCCACAGTGACACCCTTTACTGATGCAACTTCATTCGAGGCAGCGAATAGTTTTTCCCAGCGCCGAAATAGTTTGTGGCTCTGGTCTCTAAACTCTTCGGTGATGTAGGTGATTCGAGGAACAGCTGCAGAGTCATTGGGTTGGGAGCCCGAGAGAGGGGGACGCTCGATTCCTGTTGAGACCATCCATGTTTCTAACTTCTTTTCTGTCGAGTCACTCGTTATTGTTTTTCTGCGTATCGACTCTTCCTTTCCCTCCCCCACCTCCCTTTCTTGGAACAATTTGGAAATACCACCCCAGTAGAGGTGGCAGTTTTTGGGAACTGTTTAAGAGCCTCATTAATGCTTTTTCTTTCCTCTCCCTCCCTCCCTTCTTCCTCTCCCTCCCTCCCTTCTTCCTCTCCCTCCTTCCCTGCTTCCTTCTCTGTCTCTTTCTTTCTAACTGGAATTGCCTATCTGTTGAGTCCGAATTCACAAGAGGGGGGAAAATGTCACCATTTATTTTTCGGAGATCAGAATCGAGACACCTTTTAATGACACGCTGAGCAGGTCTTTGGGGAGAATGTAGCCTACAATTTTGAAGCCATTTCAGAGGGAAGCAAGGGTTCTTTACACAATCATTTTAGATTATGCTGTTGAAAATGATATGTAGTAATTAGAATTAAATTTCTGGGTAGATAAGGTTATGTTCATTTACCCATAGAAGGGAATGTTACTTAAGTAGTCATTTAATAATAGCTTTCTCTGCTGAAACGATCCCAGATGGTATTCACTGTGCACCTACCTCAACATTGCTGATCTGATTGTGTTTTTATTGTTTAAAATTTTTTTTTAACATTTATTTATTTTTGAGACAGAGCATGAACGGGGGAGGGGCAGAGAGAGAGGGAGACACAGAATCAGAAGCAGGCTCCAGGCTCTGAGCCATCAGCCCAGAGCCCGACGCGGGGCTGGAACTCACGGACCGCGAGATGGTGACCTGAGCCGAAGTCGGACGCTCAACCGACTGAGCCACCCAGGCGCCCCCTGATTGTGTTTTTTAAACAGTAAAGCAACTTGAATTTAATAACAAAAAAAACTGGTATTAGGTATCACTGTAAATTTAGTACTAATATCGAGTACAGATGTTAGGTTTATAGCGTAATGGCTTCTTCTTATGTTTAGTACTGCAAAAATTATGAGAGGGTGTATGTTAAACAAATGCGGTAATGGAGTAGTGTGTCAAACATAGAATCTGGCATATAGTAAGCTAGTAAGTGCCCAGGAAGTGGTTCTATGGAAAGCTTAGGCTAAGTTTTGTTCCAGGATGCAAGTGTATATATAAGAAGAGCAGTGCATTCAAAATGTTGACAGACCCTAAAATTTGTTAAATATGTCCCCTTTTTTTTTTTTTTTGTAGTTGAGAACTAATGTGAGATAATGGTAAATATGTAAGTGAATGTCTTACATGTCTGGAAAAGAAAAAAATAAGATTCTTATTTTGACAACTATATATTTTTGCCTTGACGTTCTCCCAAATAAGATACAGTGTACAACGAATAGAATTTTGATTTGCAAGATAAAATTTTGAAAGGATTTTTGATTTGAAAAAGAAAACTTCCTGGAAATGAAGCAAAGCTTTAACATTTACCTTCTACCAAATGAAGGATGAGTCCTGAATTTATGCGGATGTGCAAATGCTGGTATCTCCATGGATCAGGCAGCCAACCTAAGGGAAATTAAGTGCTGCCTCTGTGTGTGTAGGCGAGGCTTTCATGAAGATTGGTCTTGATGGGTTATGAGAATGGGTTGGTAACTGAATAGGACTGGAGGACATTTTTCGGGCTGGTAGGCTATTTTCTGTGTTTGCCGAGGTTATTTTTCAGGGTGAACAGAAACGGACTCCTTTATTCACAGGATACTGTGCCTGACTTGTAGATGTCAGGAAGTGTGCTAGGTACAGTGTGTTCTTGCAGTTGTAGTGTTTGTAGATAAAATTTAGAAAAGATGGAATTTTTAATAAGGGCACAAGATTAATTTAGAAAGGTGATAGAATCCTGACAGAGCACCCGACAGAGTAGGTAGGATATGTTTGTAGTCTAGGATGCGTTTGGCCCCTTTGACCGAAATTCCTGAGAATATGTTCCTACTTGGCCTTGTAAGTGAAGAGGGCTGTGCTCTTTAATCTTTCCCCACTTTGGCTCCTGAATACCCTTAACTACCTGGCATTTTGAAGTTGCTGTTTTGGAGTCATTTCATGTGCTTTCCTAATTGCTCCTGCCCCGCCTCTCCCGGTGTTGTCTCACATCTCTGCCCTCAAACGACGCAGTCTGCTACTCTTGTCCTGGGTGACCTATGGGCAGCCCTTTCAGAAAGGAATGCTCTCTGGAGAGCCCAGAGAGGGCTTAGGTGTGCCCTTGCCTCCTACTAAGACTTCGATTTTTAATACTCATCAATAAATACTAATAGCAAGAAACTACCTTATAGTGGCATTCTCCAGTAGATTGACTAAGAATTTTATTAGCCACAGCATCTTGGTTAACTTGGAAAAACACAGTGTGAGTCATATTATTTCTTTAGTCTTCATGTAAATACCTGAATTTTGATGATTCTTTGCAATAACTGCTGTCTCTCTATGGGTTTCTGGCCCATTGGATGGGAACCAGTACTCTAGGATTTGAAAACTTGGATCCAGTACAAACTGACCGATACTTAGGATGAACATTAAACATGTACACACAGGAAGATGCTATTGTCAAAAAACTCATATACATTAAGAGGGATGTTGTAGTAGGTGGAGTCATATAATTGCACGGTTATTAGCTGGAGATTTAGGAGTGCTCTGTCATACACTTTTTAAACAAATAGCATACTTTATTGGAAGGACACATTTTCTTATGGACCTCACTATCCAGTTGGTCCCACGAGGGACTGAGGAACTGGAAAGTCATTAGGAACAAGGGCAGCACCCCTGTTCCCCACTCTTGGGGGTGTTCTGGTTCTTTCTGTGCATTTATTTCATGTCTTTGCAGACCGGCTGTCGTGCTGCTGTTTGCATGTGGATGCCTGGTCCACAGCTAACTCCTTGTTTCAAGAACCCAAAAGAGACTCCATTATCCATTTAATTGTCAGTTATACTTAAAATTTTTAAAAATCAGGAAGTTAGAAATCTTCTAGCCAAGATAACTACAGCTTTATTTCAGATTAATTGCTTTCTCCAGTTTTGCCAAGTAACAGCTGAACAAATGCCATTGTTTGATGATACTATGTATAAATGCACTGTGATCACATATCACAATACTGAGAGCTGGAAAGTGCTGTTAAACCTTTAGTTTCTATAAGCTATGTCTGGAATCCATAGAAACAGAAACTTATTGTTGGCATTATTGCATCTTTTCACTTCTTATTGCAGTTTACTATATAATAAGGCAACAGATATCAACAAAGAGATCATATCTAAGTATAAATTCTTTATTAGAGATAATAAGAAAAAGTCTTTGGGAATCCAGATAAACGTTTTAAAAACTAGTTTCTTAAAAACTAAGCTCAGGTTATAACATTTAAGAGGCTTAATCTTACTGGTTTTTCAGGCCTTCAGAGAACTTTTGTTTTAATTTTTTACAGTTTGTTTCTTTTGAGAGAAAGAGAGAGAGAGAGAGAGAGAGCATGCACATGAGTGAGTTGGGGACGGGCAGAGAGAGAGAGACTCCCAAGCAGGC